GTAAGAGACCCCTGACCACTCGGATCGGCTTTGCTGGACAGCTCCGTGTAGATGCAATGCTGGCAGCAAAAAATAATTTCTTTGCTACCCGCACTGCCATGGAGTAGGCCTTCAAATGGACCTTAGCCCGTGTTCAGTCAGATTCACTTTGAGTCTTCCATCTAGTCTCTGTCTCACACGCTTCATCATCATCAGCTCCCTGGAGAACCAGGGGGCTAGTTTGGCTCCATTCCGTAAGAGGAGATGCTCAGAAGCGTTTGTGTCCACAGCCCTGGCCATTTCCCCATTCCAAAGGTTGACCAAGGCTTCAACAGAATTGCTTGCCAAGGTGACTCTATGTGTGTGTGTGTGTGTATTGTTTATGAATGGCCTTCAGCTGTGTTGAGCTGATTTCAACACAACTGAGGGTCATTCATATATTATATTATATTATATTAGTTTGTATCACCCTTTCTCCCAGAATTTGAATCCAAAATGGGATTATCTATATATCACCTGTGAGATATATATAATTTGTATCCCTCTCTTCTCCCAGAATTGGTATCCAGTGCAAGTTCCAAAGCAGGATATCTGTATATCCACTGTGATGTATATTATATTATATTATATTATTAATTTGTATCCCTCTCTTCTCCCAGAATTGGTATCCAGTGCAAGTTCCAAAGCAGGATATCTATATAGTAACGTGGTTTATATTATATTAATTTGTATCCCCCTTTTTTCCCTAGAATTGAGGCCCAAAGAGGGATATCTATATATCACTTGTGATACACTTCATATTAAAGGTAAAGGTATTCCCTGTTGACAAGGTTGTCAAGTCATGTCCAACCGTAGTGGGCGGTGCTCATCTCCATTACTAAGCCAAAGAGCCAGCGTTGTCAGAGACACGCCCAGAGCATGATTGCACTGAACACTGTTTACCTTCCCACCGAAGTTGTACCTATTTATCTACTTGCATTTTGCATGCTTTTGAACTGCTAGGTTGGCAGAAGCTGGGATTAGCAATGGGAGCTCACCCCACATGCAGCACCTGGGCCACGAACTGCCAACCTGCCGAACTTGCAGTAAACAGAGTCAGCGTCTTAACCACTTGATCCACTGGATTATTGTATTGTATTATATTAATTTGTATCCCCCTTTTCTCCCAGAATTGGGGCCAAAAATGAGATATCTATATATCACCTGATATATATATATACACACACACACTCTTCCATCCCAATTCATGGGGTATCTGTTCTGGACCCCTCCACAAATCAGAAATACCGCAAATATTGAAGTCCTAAGCGTGTGCGGCTCTGTGTGTGCACTGTCAGCGAGTGAGCCATTCTGTCCCTCGGTGCTTGCCATCTGCGAAAGACCGAACAGCAAGTCTGCAAATGGTGAAGGATGAGTGTGTGTGTGTGTGTTTTTATATATATATATATATATATATATATATGGGGCAAACCTAAGGCTAACCTATCACTGAGTTTTCTGGGTAAGAGTTGTTCAAAGGAAGTTTGTCATTGCCTTCCCCAGAGGCTGAGAGTATGTGACTAATGCTTTCTCCTGAAGCTGAGAGCATGTGCCTATATTGTATAGTCTCATGCTCTCAGCCATAGGGAAAGGCGATGGTAAACCTCCTTTGAACAAATCCAGTGATAAGTTAGCCTTAGGATTGCTGACTTGAAGGCACACATAGGTGGAAAAACCTTTTTAGTTATAAGGCAAATAAATGGCTTGTTTTCTCTACAACTGCTTTGGGTGAAAGACATCTAGTTTCCTGTTTATTGCAAAGTTTTGCAAAAGTGATGAACTAGTGTCCTCTCTGAATTCATCCGGTGATCTAGCTTCCCATTTTTGTAAATGCTGCAAAGGTGATGAGCTAGTTAGTGCATATAGGAGGGTTTGACAAGGAATAAGCTTAGCCAATGAAAATGCCAAGTGTGCCTTATACGTAATGTATAATGTAAAGTCCAGCCTACTATTTCTAAAATGGTATATAATGAGCAACTTGACCCTAGGAAGGGGCTCTTAGTGCTTTTGGAAATTATTCCACTTAAGAGTCTTGGCCAAATAAAGTCTGTCTTCCTTTCCTACCTTGGTCTCAGTTCTCAGTTATTTGCACTTAGCTGCTACACAACAACAACAATATATATATATATATATATATATATATATATATATATAATATATTCCTATAAAACCAGCATTATATATATATATATAGAGAGAGAGAGAGAGAGAGTATATATGTATATATATTGCTGTTTTATAGGAATTAATGCCTTTTTTATACTAATTGTATCTATTATGCTGGCTATATATATATTTGAGAGCCACTATGGAGTAGTGGTTCAAGTGTTGAACTATGATTTTGGAGACCAGGGTTCGAATTCTGGCTTAGCTGTGGAAACCCACTGGGTGACCTTGGCAAGTCATGTTCTCTCAGCCTTAGAGGATACCAGTGGCACACCCCTTTGAAGAAACTTGCCAAGAAAAGTCCATGATAAGTTTTCCTTAGGATAGCCATAAGCAAGAAACAACTTAAAATACCTCATAATAGGGCTGTGCTTTTACGTTTTTAATTATGCTTTAAATGTATTTTAAACTGTTTTAACTTTGTATTTTTAATAGAATTGGTTTAATTTAAAAAAAACAACACCTTTTGTACAAGCAGTTTTTTTAGCTCTATCTTGTTTTAATTGGGTGTGAGCCAGCGTGATGTAGTTGTTTGAACTCTGGAGACCAGAGTTCGAATCCCTGCTCAGCCATGGGAACTCACTGGATCATTTTGGGCAAGTCACATGCTCTCAGCCTCAGGGGAAAGCAATGGCAAACCTCCTCTGAACAAATTTTGCCAAGAAAACTGCATGATTGGTCCCCCTTAGTGTCACCATATGTCAGAAATGACCTGAAGGCACATCACCACAACAACAAGGTAAGCCTGTATTTTATCACCCTATTTGTTCAATATGTATGCAGAAAATATATGAAGAGCAAGTTTAGACTCAGAAGAAGGAGGAGTGAAGATAGGAGGAAGGAATATCAACAACCTTGGAAGATCTACCTAAATTCAGTCTAAATAATTAGGAAATCAAAATAGTCAAAGATTTCCAGTATTTTGGATCAAATATGGACCAGAACAGAGACTGCAGTCAAGAAATCAGAAGACAACTAGGAATGGGAATGACATTTATGAAAAAACTATACAAGATCCTAAAGTGTAAAGATATATAAGTGAGGATTGTCCAAGCCATTATATTCCCCATCACCCCATATGAATGCAAGAGCTGGACATTGAAGAAAGCTGACGGAAAGAAAATAAATTAATTTGAGATATGGTGCTGGAGAAAAATGCTGAGGATACTGTGGATGGCCAAGAAGGCAAACAAATGGATCTTTGAACAGATCAAGCCTGAACTCTCCCTGGAAGCCAAGATAATGAAATTGAGGCTGCTGTACTTTGGCCACATCATGAGAAGTGAGGACTCAATGGAGGACTCAATAATGCTGGGAAAGGTGGAGGGAAGTAGAAAGGGAGATTGCATGCTTGGTGGGTGGACTTCATCATGGCCTGAATTTACAGGACTAAGAGCATTGGAGGATGGGAGTGTCTTGGAGAAGTGTCATCTACAGTTGGGGCCAACCCAAGGGCAGATAACATCAACTAGAAGAAAAATGAATTTCTGCAAGGAATTTGTTGAACTTGCTACTTCTTCTACATAAGTATTTAAGCAACTTTGGGGGAAAGCAGACTGGCAGTAACAGCCAGCTTGGGGATGGTGTGGGGCAAGCCAGAGTTTTGCTGCCAGCCTGACCAGACAGCAGGCGGTGTCACGATGTTTCTGCGGTGCCACATTTATACCCCCCGCGCCTCAGAAATGCAGAAAAGCTGCTGCAGCAGCTAAAGGGCAACTTTTTCCTGCCCCCAAAAAGAGCAGCATTTTGCTGCTTCTTTTGGGGCTGGAAAACATCCGATCAGGGCTGTGGCGTGTGGTTGCCGCAGCCCCAGACTGGCACTCCAAGGGGCAGCCAGAAGCCGCTCCAAGGGGCGATCTGCTTCTGTCCTTTGTCTTTTTTTGCAGGATTTTTTAAATTGCAGATTTTCCAATTGCACAAATACTTTTTGAGCAACCTCATATTGAAAAAGAAAAGAAGGAGGAGCGACCCTTTAAAAAGCGAGGAGAGACCCTTTAAAAAGGCTGCCTTTTCCACCTGGGGCAGC